GGGCAGAATCGTGCCGTTCATCCTCTTTTTACGTTAAACTCACGTTCCTTATCTTGTAATTACTTTTAAAAAAGGAGTATCGAAGTTCGTAGCTAGCAACAAGTCGAGTTCGGCTCATTTTTACTCCAGTGCTTCTCGTTTTCCTTCTCTCAAAAAGTGAACGCGGAACAAAAGAGATATCGAGTCGCCTCATACTCCCGTGATTATCATGATAGTATCAATAAAAACTCTATGGAAAAATTTCGCATTTCTACTTGCACGAGGTTACTCTAACACGATTTACCTGTGGTGATCAGATTAAAGTTTTAGAAGAATATCTGGAAATAACGAGCGCACTTAATTCCTATTCATCTCCTACATATGTACATGTTGCTAATAAGACAAAAAACGCAAAAATGTGGAAAAGCAACCCTCACTTACGCATGCACAAAACTAAAGATATGCAGGCTAAAAATTATAATTAATCGTGTTCAAAATTGAGAGACAATGGCACGTATACAGTGAACGTTCGCAACTGGATCGTGATACATTTCCTGATGAGACATTCAACAGGTAACAAATGTTTTCGTGTTACAACATTTGCATCCACAAGTACGAAAAAATGATCAATTGTTTTGGATAATATGTTACGATATTCACTTTTTTTAGCATAACTTGAGAATTCTGAGTCTGACTCAGATACGATGTCACCAAACACGTACAGACTGTGTTGACATTTTTCAAAGAAATCAATACTCATAAAATGTCTTTTCTGATTATGATGCAGTTGAATTTGTACTATGTAACTATTTGTTTTTCCACGTTTTGTGTAAAGTAACGAACGATAAACTGTTGCACCAACACATGCTCGACGACCCACGGTAACATCAGTACAATTACACGGCAAAGATTGTCGAATCATGTTCAAGATTTTTTCCTCCTTATGTTCATCTATCAACCGAATATTATCACCATCTGTGTAATCTAATTCTTTCTCATTCAAACTGTAGAGAAAACGATCCATCGAGTGGTATAGAGCGAGTTGTTCTCCGTAATATCTCGATCCATGTTTGTTTCGAACTATGGTACGAAGAAAACCTTCAAATGCGAAGCATGACGTGTAGTTGATGTTTCCAAACTGTTTTGTCAGTGATCCGTAATGCGTATGAATGTGAAGTGTGAGATTTGTTAATTTTCTCAATGAATCATCTAATATGAGCACGAATAAATTCATTAAATGTTCGGATACTTCATCGCTCTTTCCCATAACTTGTTTATCACCGTGAACTAATCGAATTCCCCCGATGAATAACGAAATCTGTACGAAAATATCTGTAGACACTAATTCGATTATGCATGGAAGAAATAGATAGAGTAATTAGGTGAGCGATTCATTGGCTTTAAAATGTGCATGGTGTTGTAGTGACCTAGTTTTTCGACTAAAATCATGCGGTAATAGTGTCTTTAAAATTCGTTGATCAAGTGCTTGGATTGATTGTTTTGACATGATTTTCGGCAGAAGGTCAATTAAGCCGTCGAATACACACTTTACCGTGCTATGCATATAATCATAGTTTACCGAGTTAATCAGTTTATCAGGAAAGATCGAATTAAGAACAGATTCACCCTTTATTCCACGATACGTTGGTATCTTCTTCATTGCTTGAGATCTTGCTTTTTCTCCGCGAGCAATTTTTAAATCATCGTAATACATGCGATTCGTTCGAAGCTGGTAGCCGACTTTCTGATAGACAACTTTACCCAGTTGTCGGTCATAATCGCCAGGAGCCAAGCAGGTGAAACATGAATATAACCGGTACTACTGATAAAATTTAAGAACAAATATAAAGCAGGAAAATCAACCACAAAGAATAAATAATCGACGTGAAACGAAGACAGACAGAAGACGTCTAGTCGATAGACTAGACTTTTTTGTTCAGAAGAAAGAGAAGCTTCTCGATTTTGAGCCGAGCATAGCCTAATGTAGAGGAAAGCCTGCGCTACAAAATGAGACCACTCCCAGCATTCCATAACCTTTCTTCAAAAAGTTATGAGTTTCTTAAGTTTTTCCTTCAAAGCCTGAAAGAACTCAATTTTTTACTTTCATAAGTTTTTCTCTCCTTTCCTGTACAGTGTACACGCAAAATTTTTTCTTACACATAGACTGATCGAAGAAAAGTCTTCTCTTCACAATGAGATGCCTCCCAGAATTTTCTGATGAATATTCATGGAGATATAGGCATCGCGGTAAATGCCCTGAAAAAAAAGTGACCTGCGTACAAAATGCGTTTTTCTCGAAAACTGTTTTTTTGCTACCGGACTTCATTGTGCCACATTACGACCCCCCTTAAATTTCATCCGATTGAGTTAAAAATTTTACCAGAGCTACTCAAGACACTATTGCAGAGGTGTTTCTTTTGGAATTTTATTTTAGACTTTTCTTTACCGAGTTATAGGGTATCTAAAATTGAAAAACTTGGTTTTGAGACGTTTTTCAGTATTTTTCCTATAACTCGACTAGGAAAGGTCTTAAAAATATTTCCCCAAAACACCTCTGCGATATGACCTTGAATACCTCTGATGAAATTTTTAACTTGATCGGATGAAATTTAAGCGGGTGACACAATGAAAAATTGAGTTTTCTGGAAAACTGGTTAACGGCAATAGTTAAAAACTTGAAATAACAACGAAAAAGTACTCGATTGAGTTTCCAATCAGTTCTGAAAATATGAAGCCTTTCAGTTTTTATTTCACAGCATTTCTACGGAAAGTCTAAGAAGAGGGGAGGGGTACCCTTAAAGAGAAAATTATTACAAAAGCTTTGTCCAATCGCTGTTACTAGACACCAAGCAAAGTACATCGAACTGCCTACTATCGATGAAAGGCAGAGAGTAAGGGTGCACTGTCTCACACAACATCAATTTTCGTTTTACTATTTCTTAGAAGCCTAATAGAAGCGGAATAATAAAAAAGGCATTCTAAGTCTCTAAATCAGAAATACTAGTAAAAGCGAACGTTATTTTTCTTAAGAATACATTAGAAAAACAGTGAAAGCTAATAATTGCATTTCCATGAAAGAGAAAAGTTCTATCGGAAGGGTTAAGACGAAAAGTTCTGAAAAAATCCTCGAATTTATATGACACTGTATTCTAAAATGACATTTTGCCAGTTAAAAACGACAGTCAAGACAGCTATCTAAAAGTGCAGGTTACCTTTCGAGTGATCAACCTATAACACCACGAAGTTCTTCTTTCAGTTTCTACGGATACTCGAAACACAGATGCAGAATCTGCCTGTTTGCTCCGACGGTCGTCGGGAAAGCTTATTGGTTTTAGGAAATTTTTTGAAAAATTGGAGTTTCTTTTTGTATATATTTTGCAAAAAGAAATTATGTTCGCGGATTATGTCGGGGAATTTTTTCGAAAATGTTTTACGTCGCGGGAAATTTCCCTCACGCTGACAATTCAAATCTCACGCGTAGATTCTGCACCTCTGACTCAAACTAAGATGAAATGAGGAAAGCTTGCAGGCATACCAATGAAAAGACATGCACATTGCAAGAGCAAGAAGCACAGAAGAGTTCATGAGTATAGAAAGAAAACTGCAGCTGTGTACAGTTATTTCTTTATCAAAAGAAGCAGCAAACTACATGGAGCAATAACTTCCAGACGTAAATTAAACTCGTAGAAATTAGCACGCTTATAGCCGTTCACATCACCTTTTCGCGTGTTAAAATTCTAAGATAAGCTTTTACAAGTCTCTACGGATATAGTTACTGACTATTTCTTCGCCAGACATCCAGACACGTTATCTTTACTAAGCCTGCGGCTCTATTGAATAGAACTAAACAGGATGGTTTGTGTCTGCTTACTTGACTTTTAAATACTGTTATTACAATGTCGTTTATGTATTATTTGTATTAAATTTGTCAATTGGACGAAATACAAGATAAATTTGTAGTTAGTACCAACTCCAATACGACGTGTGGATACACTAAAGCAAAAAGCCATCGTATGTGCCATTAAGTATAAACTACGCAGAGAGGGACCAAAAAAAGCAGGACCAAATGTTTAGTTTTCTCTCTCTATCACGTGAAAAACGCGGTTTCAGTAGTTTAACTTTCTCAATGAATTAAGGGTATTTGAAGTTGTGAAAAGCGAATTAAGGGGCGAATATTTGAAGTTGTGAAAAGCTTAAATTCTAAGATCAAGAACGACTAACTGAAGGAAAGTCCAAGAAGGCTGAAAACTAAAAAAATCTGGACAGAAAGGAAGACTATATTTTGTTCATTATGTTTCTTGCAATTCTTCCTTTTGTTTTGGAGATTAAGGACTCTTAAAGATAAATAAAATAATTCAAGGACACAACGAACTCTTAAGAATGTCAAACACGTTTTACTGACCAAATGTCTTTTCTTTAGTAGGACATTACACTTCCTCTTTCCAATCCGTGCTTTTAAATAAATATAACAACCATGCATTGCACGGGTATTAACGATATCAGAGAATATTATTAGCCTGCTCAAGTTTTTCAGGCCTACAGCGCTGTGGACCAGAAGCAGGCTAAGAAAGAGGTTATTTTCATTGTGTATACGCAAATTTTGACTGCTGCTGTTCTAGTCGATGGCCTGGCTAGCTTTCTTTTCCAGTGAACTAACAATGATCTACCAAACAGTAAAATAATTCTATATTTGCCGTTTAGATACTGGAACGAGAAGTGTCTATCAATAAAAATTAACCACTTGAGAAAACATCATCTTGAGTGCTGCTTTCCTAAAGAACAGTCAAAGATACTATTCTCTTACGCACAGAAGACTTTTTGCATTTGATCTTGATCTTGCAGACATTCTCTCGCATAGAACATGTTTAAAAAACGGAGATAATTTTTCAAAGTAAAAAGGTGAAACGTTTATTTTTTGAAGAGTTTCCCAAAGAGACTAAAGGACAAGCGAAATTCCTACCTTTACTACAGAGACTACATAAAGTACTCGATACTCTTTATATAAAAATGACGTAGATATATACTTTTTGTGCATACAATTTAAAATGCGCAATTTCATTGATCTGCGTGTATATAGTCGCTGTCAAACTTACAATCGGACGTCTGCGTGATTGTGCTTTAGACAGAAAATAGACAGACAAGAAAATTTTCATTCTCATGTATACAGAATCGAAAAAAAAGAAAGGACATAAAGAGAACAAAGTTTTCTTTTTGTCTCATGTAAATGAAGAAGAGAAAGCGTTACGCATGCCACGTAATGAATGAGAAAAGTTTCAGTAATGTTTCAGCAATGTTTTTGCACTTATTGTTATAAAGAAACTCCACGCTGTATGCATGACTGTAACTGCAATCCTTTCAGTTGAGTTGACACCTTTATCATTGACATCATCAATGAAAGAAACAAAAGAGGAAGTCACGTGCATTTATCAAGAATAACAAGAAACCTTCAAATAAATAATATAATAACGTAAAATGAATGTCACAGTAGTAATCCCTAAGCCCCTTATTCAGAATCAGAGTTTCAATGCGTAAACTGGAAAGAAGTTATAAAGCTGAAGACAAAAAACAATCATTTAATTTGACCATGTAGTAAAACTCATCTGATCGAGTAATGATCATACTACCTTTCCTAAAATCGCTTACAGCCTTAATCATCTTCGACCAAAATAACAGAATGAGCACTGAATATTTAGTAATAAAGCTACAATATTCTTGTCAAAGTGAATCGAATATTTCCCTTAAAAAGATTCACAAAAGTTTTCTGATTCGTAATTTGTTCACACAACGAGAAAAAATATGCTTAAAAGAATATGCTTGATCAATATCCCGCAATATTAAACAATGTCAGAATAAACGAACATTTCCGGGAGCGGCTTCTCTAGTTAGTAGAAATTTAAAAAAGCGGAAAAAAGGTAAATGATTTTAGATCTGATGGTATTCTTTAAAACAAAAGAAGAAAAGTATTAAAGTACTGCCAATCTTTGATATTTCACTAGCATACAATCAGACGCTTTGGTTGATATA